AACTTTTATAAAGAATATCTCTTTGGATTTGAGACTTTAGTCTTTGCAACTTTACAGATCTTCTTTATTCACCAAGAGCTTGTAACACTCCAAAGAGAAAGGAAAAATTGAAATCGCATCATATGACCCCTTTAACTTAAACTTTTATTTCATGAGTTGCTAAAGCAACATTTCTCATTTTCATTAAAGTGTTTAATCTAATATTTATATTTTATTTAAATTTCATTTCAGTTAATGACATTTATTTTTAATAGTTTTAGGTAACAATAATGCTGACTGCAAAAGCATTTAGATCACAATAACGGATGGCCTTTCTGATTGGTTCAGGTCGCACTCTGTCAACTGGGGGTGGAGCTCCATTTAGAGCCTTCCCTAAATCGCTGAGTTTGGATTTTGGGGGTCTAAGCCACGCCCACAACACTCTAAGTTATGCTGCTCCGCCCCCTGTCCCTCAGGATAAGTATGCAGCCTTTTCACAGCTTGATAAAGTGTTCTCAGACAACACGCCTGTCACAGGTAAGAAAGAAGGCTCTGGGTATTATCTATTCTTTTTTTCTTATAACATTATTAAGCCAATCCATAAGATAATTCCAAACAAAATCTCAATATATCAAATAACCTAATAGGTTTTGTTGCTACATACAGTTTGTAGATTTGACCATCCCTTTTACACTTTTGTAGCCATTACAACAGCTCCCTCTGATGGACCGCCTCAGTATAGCACCCTCTTTAGTAACCGACTATCCTCCAGTTCCACCCCTGCAAGGTACAACTTTCAATAAAATAGAAGTTATTACACATAAGCCAAAACTAAATAGAAAAACAATATCTTCCAACCCACATTATTGTTAAGATGTTTGTTAATGGCTAATGGCATTTCTGTGAACTAGTGTATTGTCTTTTTCTCAGTTTCCCTCAGTCTATTTCTCTCTCTTTTTTAGCTCCCCAGGTGTTCCAGAGGCCACCTCTGGATCTCAAACGTTTGCAAGTGAGCAATTCAGAGTAGTAGTTTATCTAGATAACCCACCCAGAACTGATTGTGATGTACAGTGGGCATTGCCTTCGGGTTTTCAACTTTAACTTAGTCTTAATCTAAAGCAGTTATTTTTGAGTTTTTCTAAACAGAACCATAGCCTGAGTGTGACATGAAACATTTGGATGATCTTATAGCATGACCTCAAAAAAAATCTCTGTGATGGAAACATCTGTAAATTCACAATAATTAAGTCAAAACAGGGATCGAATCCAAAGTACAATTTGTGCTAATGAGAGACCTTCTGCAGTGTGTGACACATAACCACACTTTTTTCCCTCTCTGATTCAGATTTCCCAAACCCCTTCAATTCTACAACCAGTTGCGGCCAGCCCGTTCTGTCTCCCAGTAACCCCTTCAAAAGCACAGCCTCAGGTAAGAAATGTGTGGTATGTGAGGTAAATGTGTGTTCACTTTATATTTTGACTTATAGAAAACAGGAAGACTGCAATTCAGCACAATGCAGTTTTTGAAGTTTGATGTTATCAGCGCTTTTGGAAAGATAGGATCAATTTTTATCTTTAATATATCAAATAAAGTATGTTTATGGACTGAGGTTATCTTAGAAATTGACCATAAAGAAATGCATTCAATCCCTATAGGTTCTTGACTGCAGATTTACCAAGCCTTCATTTGACCAGTGACATATATGGACATTTCTCAAATCTGAAAGATCTATGCAGCCAAGGGTCAGCATTAATCTGATTGTGGGACACAAGCCCATAGTTATGTCTTGTGAAGGATACATTTTTTACAGTGCTACAAATCTGACAGAGTGTACTGGGCTTAAAAGGAACTTAATCCATAAAGCAATGAATCTGATAATTGGACATGCAACTATGTTCAACTATTGTTGCGGAACTACTTCTAATAAATCAAATAAAATGCTTACTCCCACAAATGCTGTAAACCTAGTGGTAGATCTCAAAGCCAACAAAAACAGTGATGTCACCTGGTGAAATACCAATGCAAAGAGAGTGGTCTGTTGGATTTATTGTTGGCTGAATTCCAAGTGTCAGAGGAAATAATACACTTTGTTTTTAGCAGTCAGCACATTTATCTTGAATTCCCGAACACCGAGTTCAAACATGCAAACTGTCTTTTACATCACAAAGTAAAACACAACACTATTTATATATTGTCTGACTGCATGTCTGCTGATCTACACATACATATAGACATAAATATGATGGACGGACGGATAAATAGATGGATAGACTGATTAATTCAATCAGATGTCGGATGGATGGATGGATGGACAGATAGATAGATAGATTCACGTTTGTTGTATTTAACTGCAGTGTTCAAGACTTCATGTCTTTCTGATTGACAGATGATGCCTCCTCCTCCTCAGTCGTCTTTCCTCAGTCTGTCTCTTTTCCTGCACCCACCACCACCCAAAGTGCTTTTTCACACCAACAGTCTAGTAACCAGGAAGCAAACGGTAAGTATAGCAAGCTTAAGTCTTTAAATCTGCTTAAAGGCAGTGAAACCCGTGTTCTTAAAATAGTCCATTAATCAATTAAATAATCAGTCAGGAATTAATGCTTAAGGAGACACTGCAGAGTGAAAACTCCAGATGGCCGCGGAGAGAGGCCGTTTTGTTGACCTGAACTGGAAATGTGTGCTATTTTAATCCTGTTGGCTTGTTTGTTTGTAGGTTTCAACTCATTTCCTGCCCCCGAGTCTGTCCCTAAAGTCCCACGACCAATGTCTGTCAACCCGTTTACTGTAAGCATGATCTTCTTTTTATGCTAAGAGTCAATAAATGGAGTGTAGTAAATAACCCTGTGCCTATATATCGTACATATTATATCACTTGCAGACCGTAGTTTCAACTGAATGACAGACTATGTGCCTCATACAGTGCTGGGAAGTAATTGATTTGATGTAATCTGGATTATGTAATCAGATTCCAAAAAATCAATTACTTGTAATTAGATTACATTACGTTTGTCAGGTGGCTATAATTACACATAAAATTGAGAGGCCACACAGCATAAATTAAATATTTTGTCTATTTTTATTGTTTTATTTTTATTGTTTTTATTTTTTAATTATTTCTGTTAATTTACAATTTTTAAGATTTAAAGGAATAGTTAACCCAAAAAAATTGCTGAAAATTTACTCCGGCCATCTAAGATGTAGATGAGTTCTTTTTGAAGAATTTTAGGGTAACACTTTCTATGAAGCCTGTATTTATAATACATTATAAGGGTATTCTTAAGGCATTATAATGTATTACATCAATTCCTCAACAATGGATCCTCTGCAGTGAATGGGTGCCGTCAAAATAAGAGTGTAAACAGCCAATAAAAACATCACAATAATCCACACGTAATCAACCTGTCCATCAATTAACTTTAAACTGTTGCTTCTGGCTAAAATACGAATCCTCTAATATTCTTTCTTTAATGAAAAAGTTGTCTCGCTAGAATCAGGAGGAAAATATGCAAAGATCAAGCACTGTTTACAAGCAAAAACAGTCCAAACAAATATGTCGGTGGATGTTGATGTAAGAGGAAAACAGGGGGGGTGGACTTTTTCCACTGGAGAAGCGTTATTATGGATTATTATGGACACATATTTTGGACAAAAGCGATGGTTTAATGATTAAAATTTTAATGATGGGTTTGTTTATTACAGACACGCAACTTTTCACTTCATAAGATGGTATTTAATGGACTGGAGTGGTGTGGATTATTGTGATGTTTTTATCAGCTGTTTGTCACATTCTGACGGCACCCATTCACTGCAGAGGATTCATTGTTGAGCAAGTGATGTAATACTAAACTTCTCCAAATCTGTTCCAAAGAAGAAACCAACTCGTTCACATGTTCATCTTTTCAGCAAATTTTCATTCTTGGGTGAACTATTCCTTTAATTATTAGCTTTTTAGCAATTTACAAATCCCCTTCAGCTCCTTCACAAACCCTAGTTTGGGAAACCCTGCCATCATGTGGTGTTTAATGCACTCCATGTTGTTGATAACAAAGCATTGAATACATTTTCATTCGCATTGTATTTTTATATCAATATAGTACAAGACTATCTTAAACAAATCAATGTGATGTAATGTAATAAATTAATAGACACATTTTTATCATGCAATTATATTCAGTAATGGATTACAGTTTGTAAGTAATCTACCCAGCACTAATCTTTTTATTTCTACAAGCACACAACATTTCTTAGTATGTGTTTGTGAGGGTTTAAGAGTGTTTCTATGACTTCTCTTAGGGGAATGTTTACCCGAGTAGAGGAGCATCACTGAACCCTTTCATCTGAACCACCTCGGCCGTGGAGAAAGAAGAGAGCGAGTGGAGCTTGTTTACTTTGCCATACCTACAGAAAACACCCAACACTTCTGCGTGTGTCTTCATGTATGTTTAAAGGTGTGTGTGTGTTTGTTAGCAGATATTGTACATGTAACTATTTGTACATGCTTTGTTGTATGTGTGTGCGCGCGAGTGTGTTTGTACGTACGTACCCTTTTGTACCAGATGCTATAAATTAAGCTTTGTGTGTGTGTGTTTGTGTGTACATTTGTGTGGGTTTTGCCTAATATCAGAGGAATTTTTCTGATAATAGGAGAACTTCAGATGAAAGGTGCTTATGAGAGCCATTAACACTCACAAACGCACACACAAGCTGCTGCTTTGACCTTTCCACACAGTAGAACTTCTCGTGCCAATATCGCCCTAACCTGAGTGCCCACTTACTTCACTCAGTCACTGAGGTCGACACATTACAATAAAATAGTAGCTTCAGATCATCTCAGTAATGCATTTCTCCTCAGTGCCCATTTAGGTTAATTGATTCAGAAGCATGTTAAAAAGACGGCATAAATGAAACTTTTCTGTCTGTGTATGAATGCCGGGCTTGTTTCTATTTATTTTGACGTCGACGTTTCATTTCAAACGTTAATAACTATTTGTGTGTGCATTGTCAAACTGCATGCACTTCTCAAGCTGAGCAGGAAGCTGCTTGAATGTACCTCAGTTTCAGTTATTATGAGGGAAAAAAAGTTTCTTGTATGGACCAAAAATTGTCTAATATCGTCAAGTTTTTTGTATAACGTAGAGATGGTTTCTTCTTTATTCATATAGAATGTCTTTGTATCGAGATGTATCCATATGCATAAAGCTATCCATAACTGTTGTGTCCATGTGTATTGTCTGTGTGATGCAAATCAAACTGAATTTGCTGCTTTTGGAATTTCATGCAATATCTTTTTATGACAGCATCGTTTATATTTTTCTGTGAAGATTATTATTGCATTTCGAATGTATTTGCACTCTATGATCATTAGGGCTTTCAACTGAAAATTAAAATGAAAAGTATAAATTACACCTCTCACCTGACCTAGTCTAATTTTGATGACTGATAGAGTTATAGTTGGAATAGCTGGTTAGTGGACATTTCAAGCAATGTCCTGCAGTGCTATGCATAATCTAAAACTTTTTTTTATATCTATTCATATATGTACTTCTAAATATTACTTTGGTGAACCACTGCAGCTTCTAAAAATGCACACATCGCTATATACATTTATATATATAATTGTTATTTTTTAACCTAAAATCCTAAAATTCCTGTCCACGTTGTCAAATACTCAGCTGCAATGGACCAATGAATTCACTAGATGTCGCAAGTAATCAATTTGAATACGACTAAATAAGTAGGCTATCCAAAGTATTTAATCAAGAATTTTAAGATTTTATTTTATTTTATTTTTTAGAATTATGTTTATAATGTACACCTGCATTACTGACTTATTCATAATGTACAGCCAAACCTATTTTTTCTTCTCCTCACGTAAAAAAACGTGTTTGGCGTCTTCTGAATGTATTAAAGGATGATACAACAGTATTAGGTCTGCCTTATTTTTAAGTATTTTGCCCATTGTTCTCCTACTGTCACTCCTATATTTATCTGCAATAAATTAAAAGATTTATGACGACAATGGTAACAATGAACATTTATTGCTTCAAACTAACAAGTAGTGTTGAGTCAGGACAGTCCAGTGTCGAATGAAATTCGATTCTGATCCGCAACTCTACACAGCTTTAGCTCTCTCTCTCTCCCTCACACACACACACACACACACACACACACACACTACAGAAGACTGATGAGTGACAGCTTCACAGTAGCAGTGAACGCTGCGCTGGAGAGGAGGGGTGACGGGGAGCTGTCTACTGTACACTACCGTAATGAGATTATTCAACTCCTAAAGCTTCTTCTAAATAGTACTAGTTGCGCTGTTTCTCGCACGCCGCAGCGCATGTGCTCGCGTCTGCTCACCCGTTCTGCTCGACTGTGTTTAATGACATTATTTTTGGAAAGGAACTGCTTTTTGGAACCTCTCTCGCCCTTTGCGCACATGACTTTTCTGAAGCAACAGAGGTGGACGGAGGTTGCATTTGTTGTCGTTTAGTACTTCTAAGGGCTGAACTTTTTTTTCAACGTGCTTGAGCAAAACAGACCCCTAGAGCCATGGAGAACCACACCGACTCGCAGAGCAGCACAGAAGACGTCCGTAAAAGCGGGTATCTCCGCAAGCAGAAATCCATGCACCGGCGGTACTTCGTGCTACGGACGGCTTCGGAGCGCGGCCCGGCCCGACTCGAGTACTACGAGAGTGAGAAGAAATTTAGAGGTAAAGCGCCAGTGCCTAAAAAGGCTTTGGTGCTGGAGACGTGCTTCAACATCAACAAACGGGCCGACTCGAAGAATAAACACATGATAGTGCTCTACACGCGGGCTGAGAGTTTCGTGGTGGCGGCGGAGAACGAGACGGACCAGGAAGAATGGCACCAGGCGATGGTGGAACTTCAATGCAAGAGTAAGTCTGGGAAAAGAGTGGTCAACTTAGGTGTTAACGTGGCGAGCTTCGTGTAATTGCATCTTGCATGTCATTCCCTCCAGTATAATGCAATAAATTTGCAGTAGCATGTAAAATGGTTAATCAAAGCACATCCACAGACTTTGTCATTGCATTAATATTGCTGACTCTGGGTCTTCAGCTGCTGGTGGTGTTGAAACAACAGTGGTTTTCTTCCTCTCCAGTAAAGTAGATGGCCCCCAAGTTGGGCAGAGGGGCCTCCTTTGCTGTTGAAGAAGGGAACGACTGTTACTGAAGTTCAACTTGCTCCTTATCCACGCTGCCACCGAGCGTGTGTTATCATGTCTTCTCACTATAGCTCCCGGGGTAACATTTCCCCCAATCTTTCTGTCAGGGAAATGAATATCGTTCCTCTTTTTTATTTATATCTGTTAAATAATATTAAGAATAGCCTAGTGTTTAGGACCAGAGGCGGACAAAGTACACAACTCCATTACTTAAGTGAAAGTACAGATACTGCTGGTCAAATAGATTTTTACTTAAGTAAAAGTACAGAAGTACTTGCTTTTAAAAGTACTTAAGTACCAAAAGTAAATTTCCTTTTTTGTGTC